ACCAAAATATCAACAGTAAGTGACGGCTTTGGCAGTCAAAACGGATCCTGCCCCCCCCCCCCCACACACACACACACCACCACACACACAGTGAGAGTAAAAATAGTACCCTGGTGTGCATATAGACAGGCCTCAGTGTTCCTGTGTGTAAGAATCTGGAGTTGTGGGGGCTGCGGCACACAGGAAACGTTTTTACTGCCAAAGCCGTCACTTACTGCTGATATTTTGGTGAACATGATAATTTTGAGGGGAATGGAAGTAGAGAAAAAGAGTGTGTTTATGTGTGCAACTGGTGGGTGGGTTGTGAGGGCATGCTTGTATGTATGCATGCACTGTGTGTGAGTGAGGGGGCTGTTTTTTAGACTTCAAGCTCTTCAAAGGGGCTTTATGCACCGCTATCAGCCTATGGGACTCTGGGGCTGGCACCAGAGCTAAGAAACAAAGCAGTTTGTTCATTTCCTGGAAGGCCTGTGAACAAGTGTCTCAGTCAGACTTTATGACCATAATCAGAAAGAGAAAGCGAGGCCTTAGATGCAGCGGATCCAAGCGTATGCTGTGTTAATCTGTGCTACAGTTATTGATGTTCATCACTAAAGCAGCGATTTATGAAAAGGCAAAGGCAGACCATAATGTATTTGCGTGCATCTCTGTCTGTTAGCAAAATATCTCAAGATTTTGATGAATTTTTTAGGACATAATCACTGGCACTGAATACCTTTTTATAACCAGTTCAGTACAAGATGACTGTCACAGCTCATCAACATAGCTAACACAAAAATGGCTATCAGTTTTAGAGTTTGAACAAAAAGGCAACAACGACATCATTTCTCAACATCTTAATCTGAAGCTCTTTCAAGAAAAGCAGTGGACGATATTCTTTCGAGGAACACTAGTCGTTACATTAATCATGTCAAAAGGGCAGCTGCTTTGATTTAGCGTCTGTCTTTAGCATTTTTTCGAAACCAAAATGTTTCTGTTGTCCTTCCTTTACGATATTCTAATGGAGAAAGAATGACCTTCTCCACAATACAGGGTGTAAACTCCAGTCAGACTGAAAAAGGGACAACATTAAAGGAGCCTTAAGGCAGTGAAGGGTGTCATGGCTGCAGGAAGAAGAGTGTGCTCTTGGCTTCAGCGGAGCTAAGCGGCAGCTCTACATGAAAGCTCTCAGTGGAAGGTTAACTTGAGAGTGTGCCTTTGAGAGATACTTACCTTCATTTGCATTCATTTTTCTTTTGACGTGTGTGTTCAGGCGTGTGACTCCATGACCTTGCTCATGAAAAAGTTGGATAACCTCAATGACGGGAACCAAGAAGTCCAACCTGCTGATTCCAACCACTCACACACAACAGAGGCTGATCTGGAGCAGCAGAGCACCACAGTAAGTCACGTACAGATCTATGGTTTGTTGTGTGACGCTCTGTGAGCATAAACCTGTCGGACATGTACGTGAAGGAATACTACGGTACAAATTTGCTTGGTGAATGGTTGCACGAATGCAGGATGTTTCATGTGCAAAAATCATTTGTTAAAGGGATAGTCTGGTGATTTTAGAGTATGATCTGTCCATCAGTCTTCAGTAGTTAGTACCTTATCAGTCGGGACAACAGTCACAGACGCAACCAAACTTATTGCAATATAATGACCCAAAACACACTGTGATGAAACAAGAGCAAAGGAACATACATGTGACCTGCTAAAGAGATAAATCCCTGAAGGCAAACAATTATTTGTTTCACTACTTTTCTCACCTAAAGGTTGGTGTTTCTTAACAAACAAAATTTCCTGCAAAACTATAAACACCTGGAAATAAAGGTTGAAGTGTAAAAGTGAAAGTATGCATATATACACATATATACTACAGTAGTCCCTCGCTACTTTGCGGTTCGTTTTTCACGGACTCGCTCTGTCGCGGTTTTTCAAAGTAAGATTGGACATGACACACTGATTGATGGATGAGCCGCATGATCGGCATGGATTTTTATTTAAAATTAATTATTTTAAATTAATTAGCGCCTGTTGCAACTGTGTGCAGCCCACAGCTGCAGGAGAAGCTTCTCCACTGCAGAGCGTCAAGGTCTCCGCTCTGCAGTGGAGAAGTGGGCGTGGCCAATAGCGCTGGCAGATGGCAGAGTGCAACTTGAGGCAGAGAGATGATTTCATCACATTCCGTGCTCTTTAGAGCGTTTAGAGTTTAGAAACGTTTTTAGAATATTGCAAGAGTGTGTGAAGGATTTAAAACGCCTTTGTATATATACAGTGTATATACATATACATATACATATATATATATATATATATATTAACTCACTTTTAATGTCTGCCATTTAGAAGATCTGTTAAATGTCCCTCACTCAGCAGGTTGCAGCTGCCAAACTGTTCAGTCTTGAATCTTTGATTTCATGATGTTGGCAAACATTTAAAATAGGTTAAAAATGCCCGCACGAATAATAAATTGTACATTAAGGGAATTATAGTCACTGTGATGTATCGTGTTGATTTAGAGCTTAAATGTCAAAAGTTGGCTGTCTCTTTTTGAATTTCGTTGCCACCCACAGTGGCATGCAAACTATTTTGTTTTGCCTGAATACAGTGACACTACATTTTCTTTAGGCAACTTGTTCATCCTGATTCATTAACATGCATAAAAGAATTGGCCTCTTCAAAACACTTTTTAGAGGTTATCCATCAAGATTAAAACAACAAAAAAGATTAAGAAAAGTTGAATACAAGATTTGAAGTCCTTAATATAATAAAACGGATCATTTTTTGATTGAATTACCATAACCTCTAATCTCACCTTGTGTTATTTCTTTATAAATCAATTGTTCTTCCATTCCCTTTAGAATGAGACTCATAACTTAAGCAATATTTTAGACGGCTCCCATCACTCATGGCTGCACACACTCCCAGTACAGACCATTAGGTCATAAGGCAGACACGTTTCACCAATCAGGTGGATGGGTGCTTGCCAACTCTTCTCTTTTTAAATGTACAAAAGAATGCTTTACAGTGTTGTTTTGGATACCTGTTGTTTCCTCATTATTAAATCCATTAAATTAAAATGCTTTTGTTTGGTGTATCCATCTGGAATAAAATCTATATTCCCTCAGAGACCACAGATAACTCATCACAGCTTTTTGCTGTTTTAAAAGCATTTTTTACATAATTGGTGTAAAAGGAACACGGCGTGTGTTTTGCTGCTCTCACATGGATTCCAGCTGGCTCGTTAATGTTCACCAAGTGTAAATCTGGTAACCTCAAACAGCTTTTAAACCAGCACAGCACAACTTCAGGAATTCTTATAAAAATACTGCGTTTAATCACAGAAGTCTCATTAAACAAAAGCCTGGCTAGTCAGGAAAACAGCAGTGTAACACATTTATTCAGATGTTGTCTTTCCTAATGCTCAACTAAAACTTTATGAGAATTAAAACTGATAGAGGTGAGAGACACAACACCAGTAATTATGGAAATACGAATGGTCGATTCAGCTGCAAGCCTTTTAGAGAGAGAACAGCAAATGAGTGGTTTATCCCAAAAAAAGTGCAATATTTATGGGGTACTAAAGTTTACTTTAGCTTATTAAAGGGATTTAAGGTTTCACGTTAAGCAAAGTTCAGACGTGATGATATGTGGAAATAAATACCGAATAATTACGTTAGAAAAAAATCTTTGACGAGGCATCTAGTAAGTATTTTTTAATGACCTTTTAAAATGCTTTTGTTTATTTTCAAACCAGTGTTTTAGTTCCTTTCTGAGGCATTGAGCTCAGCTTAGCCTTTGAAGGTAAGTTCAATTATTTGAATGAAATTATTAGTTTTTCATACGTAACAAGAAATCTGGTGGTTGCAGAACATTTAGTCAGTGTAGAACATCATTTAGGAAGTTGAAGGTGGAGTTTGAATTTGATATTTTTCAGGCAGAAGTGAGCAAAATAGGTTTCTGTACATTATTATGCTGACAGACAAAGAGTTTAGTTATATTTCTTTACACCCGGACAGAATTGTGTGGTTCAAATGGATGCCGTGCTAATAGATAGCCTAGCTCAGGTCTATTCAACTGGCGGCCCAGGGGCCAAATTAGGTCCATGGGTGAACTCAGGTCGGCCCATCAATGGGTTCATTTTTAAACCACTTTATTACTTTAGCACCATATATTCTTGCAGAGATTTACCGTGTTCTGCTTTGCAACACGTGTTTCACACAGATCATGTTGCAATGAACACCGGACTGAAGACTGGTGTAGACAGCTGTCTGATGGAGAACTGGTGTAGTAGAAAGGTTACAATCGAGTATTTTCTTGAACCACTCCAAACTTTTTAAAGCTCGAGTTATTTTAGATGTTTGAATCTGCTCTGCTTAACTCTTTCATGAAAACGTCTCACTGAATTTTCCAAACTGAGACTGCTTGTTATTGCAGGTAAAATACTGACAACTAATAATAACCATTTTGCCTCAAAAGAATCCACACTATCTCTTAAAGCAAAGTCTTTACGTCTGCCTGGTGTGTACTGAGAACAGTAATTTGACTGTTTCCCAAGATGGAGGCATACCAGAGCTGATGCACTGCAAAGTGAGGGAACAAGCCACATGTGCCAAGACTCAGACACACAGAGACAAACAGGTGGAGACAAACACACAACAACCAAGAAAATTAGATAAAACAAGAGGAAGAGTGGCAATACTGACAGTACCCCTCCTGCAAGGGAGCCTCTCTGCAGACAAGGGTTGTTAGGATGTGAAAGTCTCTGATCCAGTATTCAGAATAACACTACAAGTAAGTCACAGGTGTTTCTCCAGGCTTTACTTGTCTCTGTCAGCCAGATGCCGAAGACCGCAATCCTGAACAGGACCATGACCAATGATTCAAACAGGAAGAGGAGGTTCAGTTGAAAAGTTTAACTGTATGATTTATCTAACACTGAGATGCATGAAAGCTGGAGAAATTCTTGGACTACAATAGCTAGGCTATTCAACTAAATTGCTCAGGGGGGCACAGTTACTGAAAGCCAAGAGCTTAGGGGCTGGACATCAGCAGTTATTGTCATTAAATATGTTTGTTTTACAATTTAAAATCTAGTTTTACTTAAAAATGAGCCCATTTGTGGCCGATCTGAGTTCACCCATGGGCCTAATTCAGCCCCTGGGCCGCCAGTTGAATAGACCTGAGCTTTATTTAATCTGCTTCAAACAGAAAACCACTGGATTAACTATCATACGTCTAGGTGAAGTTTTCTAGAGATTTCTTGTAACTGATCTGCAGTTACGTAGAGCACAATTGAAATATCTCACCACTTTTTGGATGTTTAGGCTGAAGGTTTTGCAAAATCTTTATGCTGGTGTTGTTTCCACAGATCATCAAATATCACCACTCAGTCCACTCTGACGAGTCTGAAAAGTTTGAATAATAATATCAACTAACATTTCTAAGCCAGCTCTGCAAAAGGCCGAGGTTGGTGGGCGCAAAGGTCACAAAATTACTTTGCTTTGAAAACCTTTGGAGAAACAAACATAAAATGGGTTTGGTAATCAGTTTTGTTGTCAAACTTGAAAATGAACACTGAGTTAATGTCAAGGGAGACACAATCAGCCTGAAGAGCACCATCATCATGGTCAAGCATGATGACAGGAATGTGACGCTCAGGTCATGTTTTTCAAACACCGGGTCAGAAAACCCTCTCAGTTTAAGAGAGGATCATTTTAAAATACTTCAGAAAACCATCAGGCAGTCTGAAGAAAAACCTGGCCTGGGGTAACATGATCCAAAACACTCAGCTGAGGGTCAGCTGGTAAAGAAATGTTTACCAGAAAACATTATTAACATTTTGCAGCAGCTCAACCAGAGTGCAGACTAAAACCACAGATGCCAGAATGATAACTGTGAGGTCCTCCAACCTGAGAGAGGTCAGTGCAGAAGGTGGTGTTGAACTTTTAGCATGATCAAACTTGCTAGCTTGTCGTCATGGTCAGTAACAGTTTTTGCTTTGGGCTTTACTGGAAAAAATAATAATTTCTGGCTTAGAAATTTTTCTTAAAAATATAAAAACCAACAAAGATAAAGTAAAAAAAGTAGAAGTACCTGCAGCCCAATGTTTTATCGACTAGTTTATGCCATCATCGGTCAGAAGCAACATTGTGAAAGTTTACGAAAATAAACCATTAACATTTGTCTTGAATAAGCTTGGTCTTGGGTGGCATGGTGGCTCAGTTGGTAGAGCTGTTGCCTTTCAGCAAGAAGGTCGCTGGATCAAATCCTGACAGCCATTCAGGGTGGAGTTTGCTTGTTCTCATGCGTAGGTTTTCTCTGGGTACTCTTGTTTCCTCCCACAGACTAAAATCATACATGTTAAACTGATTGGTAACTCTAAATTGTCCCTAGGTGTGAGTGAGAGAGTGAACGGTTGTTTGTCTCTATGCGTCCCTGTGATGGACTGGAGACATGTCCAGGGTGATGTCCCCCACCTCTCGCACAGTGACTGCTGGATATGGGCACCAGTGACCCCCGTGATCTGAAAAGGAAGAAGTGGGTAAAGATAATGAATGGCTGGCTGGACGGGTGGATGGATGGATGGATGGATGATCGTGGTTTTACCTGGATCTTACAACAACAATGTGCTGCAGCTCTTCCATCGGTTTAGTGATGGACTTTACCCCGAGGTAATGATTTCCACTTCATTCCTTACACTTAAAGAAAGAAAACAGAAAACACCATTTTAAACAAATGAAAAAAGATATTTCGATGAGATAATTGGGGAGTTTCTGTTTGATTTAAAGTGTTTTCTTTCCATCAGAGCCAGTGTCCTTCACTTTCCTCTGACCTCAGAAAATTACCAGCTGCATCTATCTCTGTGATGGAAACACTTCAAAAGATTTGAGCGGGAATTTTCCGGACAGACAAGCATTGTGTGTCAAACGAGATGAAAACAGACCTCTGTGCGTGTATTTTTGGATTCTGTATGGTAAAAGCCGACTCTTACAGAGATGAATGCTGTCAGTACGCCCCCATCGGCGTTATCAGCTCAGTGTCTGACAGGAGGCGAGAGCGGGAAGCACAGCAGCGATGGACATTCCCACTGAAGAGTACAGTAGTTGAGTCATGGGGTCAAGCTGGGATGGACTTCCCAGTTCTGTGTGGGTTGGACTAGGGTGGGAATTTTCAAAATCTGAGCTGATGTAGGCACATCGCTGATATCTTGAATTATTCCACATCATGACCAGCTTCACAAAATACTGAACAGAAACCAGAGCAGCACAGAGCTACTGAGGAGACAGGTGCTATAAAAATAAAAACTGGAGACATGGCAGATGCTCAGAGAGGTTAACAATTATAAATCCTCCTCTGTTCTGTTTTTTTTCTTTGAGAAATCTAAAAGCTGACTAGATGACTCCAGAAGAAACTTTGAATATCGGCTGTCTTTTTAACCATTTTTGATCTTTGTTTACCTCCTCCCAGGGTGCTCTGGTCGTGAGCAGGGTGGTGAGTCAAGCGAGTAAGGATCACGGGGTCTACAGATGTTTGGAAAAACCTGAACTACTTATCAGAAGTTGCCCACGACCTCTGACCCGTAGCAAACCACTGACTCGCTCTTCCCTCTCGTCCCCGGCACATCTCCAAGCTCGACGCGCTCGGGTGAGACAAGCGTTTTCTGTCAGTTTTTGTGAGATTGTGCAACAGTTTGACATGGTACATATTGGGTCAGTGACTACACTGAGGGTGGTGGTGGGATAGCATTTATTTAATTTCTTTGTTTGATCAAAATACAGACTCAGATTTAACACTCTAAAATTAACTATGTTAATAAAGTAAAAGGTTGGCATGGGAAGCATAACAACAGATCACTCACAATCAGACAAGAGTAGGAACCAGAACTGGTGACAAAACTGGAGGGAAGGTGGGCAACAGGGCATGTTAACAGCTAGCAAACATGGGGATGTGAGCTGGTAGAACAAGTCATCATTACTATAGTAATGTAAGTTCATCATATAAATATAATCAAGCTCATTATTTGAGTACTCTTAAATATTCCTTATATTAAAGGTCCTAATGTTGCACCTTAGCACATATAGCATTTCACCATGTCAATGTACCTTCAATATAAATGCTTCAATGTTAACATTAGGAGCTAGTTACTTATTGCAACAGGCTTATTTTCATTTTCTAGCTCAGTACAAATGCAGGTGTTCAGAAAAACCACAAGTGACATTCAGTATAGAAAAGTATTAATGTTTGATAATTATTTTTTTCTATAAGCACATTCAGATAAATGTAGCAATAGCACTGATTTCACAGAACCCTATACAATAACCTGGAGGCTAGCGCTAGCATGCTAGCTCCAGAAACAAACAAACTCATCAGTTCCCACTTGTAGAGCACACAGTCAGCTGAAGGTTTATTCACAAACAGAGACATCTAAAAGTTGAGAGGCATATCAGTCAGAAATGGCAATGTATGAATTAGATAAAGGACTTTTACCTGCAACAGCTAGCCTGGTTGTGAGAGTGTCACTGCACGATCTGTTCCAGGAACAAAAACAAAACAATAATCTGTTCCGAGACCGGAAGCACGGCCCATACCATGCGAGGAGCTGGAGAGGTGTGCCCAGAATCTTCCTATCTCTTGTAATGAAGAGGAGCTAACTGTGCATGTACAACTTTTAATGAGAGTCTATGGGCCAAGATTCTTGCACCCCCAGGGCGGAAATACGTCACCAATCAGAGACAACGTTTTTAAAAGAAACAACTGTACTCATCATTAACTATAAAATATTTATCTTACACACACAAAAAAAACATATTTTGAAATATTTTCATTTTATTATTTCATTTTTATTTCATTTTGGAGTGGCGCCCTAGCGCCCCCTATTGATCAGCCGCCACTGCGTTAATCTTTGAAATCATGTTTAATTTTTTAGCATCAAAACAACAGACAAAAAAAATGTTTATTTTATTTTATTTTAATTTTTTTATTGTTTGCTTTTACCGTTACTTCAGTCATCCTGGTTTGCCTCCCCTCCTTTTTTTCTGCCTTGTTCCTTCCATCTGTCTGAGCCTCTGTCCAGTCTGCTGTTTTGTAAAGAAGGGGAAAGGATGAGACAGCTTTGCTCCACGCAGCAGAATCTACAAGGTCACTTTGTGCTCCGTCAGCACTGCAGCAACAACAGAACCACAAATACACACCGCTACTCCTCAACAACCGTCTGACACATGAAGGGAGATTAGGACAAAAAGTGGACGTGAAATAAACAAACCTTTTGTTGTTTAAAAAAAATGTTTTCTTAATTGATTCCATAATAAAAACCTAAATAGTATTTTTAAATGAAATATCCCCTTAAACTGCATCTATTCAGAAAGGCCAAACCTCTGGTCGAGTTGCCTTCTCATCAGACCCTCATAGGCTGTTTGAGATTTTTCTTTGTATTTTCTGTAAAATGTCCTTTATGTTTTGTGAAAATATCTATAAATTTAAAATATTCTATTAAAAAATGTAATCTAGGAGGTCAGGGAAGAGGGATCAGCAGCAGGGGTCACAGGATCGGATTGACTCGGGGGGTGGGTTTATTTTTCCCCCTAACTGTGACTGATAAAGCACAGCTGTCCAAACGGACTCGTTCTCTTGTCCACTCCCCTCTAAACGCACTCAAAGACACTGGCAGACAGCGCGGTGCTTAAAGGTTTACAAATGTTTTCGAATTTACTGTATTTTTGCACGAACTGAACTGAAAACATCAAATTTTCACTCAAGTCCCAGATTGTCTGAAAGATAATTCATCCACTGGAGCAAGCATGATCAAATATTTTAACTAAACATTGCGCGAAAATGACACGGCAATGTTTGTATAGGGGCTACAAAGTCATGCGATCAGCAGCTGTTTAGTTTGTGAAATCTGTCAGGTGTTTTTTTTTTTTAATCAATGGGATGACCATCTGGGAATGAGTGTGGCCATTGTTTGCTTTCCAGCACATTTTTGGAAGCGTATCATTGGACGATCAACAAAACAAGGCTGCCAAGTTCCTTAGCTGTTGGTCATGGGTCAGTTTCTACAAAGACTGGTCTTTACTGGCCCACCAGTAGGCACATGAAAAGTCAAGACCAAACATGTCCTCTCTAACTGTATCCATATATCTCCTCTTTGTCTTTTTCCTGACAGCTGCATTTCTAATATCTTTCTACCAATATACCCACTGTCCCTCCTCTGGACATGTCCAAATCAGGTTGTTTGCTGGTTGCTAAAGGTTACCGTATTTTTCAGACTATAAGTCGCACTTAAAATTCTTTAATTTGCTCAGAAATTGACCGTGAGCCTTATAATTAGGTGCACCTTATGTATTAATTTTGGTTGTGCTTACTGACCTCAAACCGTTTTATGTGTTTATTGTGAATTTGAGCTCCCATTTCTAACCCGGAGCCCAGCCCAACCTGGATTGGGGCCGGGCCATAATAATGTGCTTATTGTGTGGGCCAGTCTGGTGTCGGACGTTTTCTTGCGTCAGCGGACACCTGCGGCTGACGAACCAGTTAAATGGCAACATGGCTTGCACATACAATCACCAGCCGCACACGGCCATTTGACTGCACGCTGACCAGCCTTGAATGAGGTTAAAAAAAAAAAAAAGTTTAGTTAAGCTTCAGATGGACTACTGCCAGCGATCCATCAGCCCAAATGGACCTTCATTCAGCCATTGCACTCATCGGACGCATACGCCCGACGACCCAGTTCTAACAACTGAGATCCCAAAATATCCTGCAGACATGTCAGAGCAGGGTCCATGTCTGAATGATGCAGAATTCAGGCAGAAGCAGGGATTTAATGCACTTTAACGGCCATGAAAGGACAAACACCCTCTCAGCTCCGATCTTCTGCCCCCTCAGCCGCGCGTGTCCACCGACCGTTAATAACTATATAAGCAGTCAAAGCTTAATTAAAAATGTCTGGGGTTTTTTTGGGTTTGAACCTGTAATTACTATTAATTTGTCTGGCCGGGTGGGGTTCGGAAATAATGGCTACGGGCTGGGGTTGGGTTGGATTTTTTGGGCCGGAATGCAACTTTATTGTGAATGAGTTGAATAAAGTTTGACTTATCTGACTGTTTTGTTTCGCTTAATGCGCCTTATGATCCGCTGCGCCTTGTAGTCTGAAAAATACGGTATGTAAATACGCCAGCTGTAAAAAAAAATCCTAAACACCATCCAAAAGTTATTTTGGGGCCATAATAAAATTAATTCTGAATGTTTTCCTGGGAAAATGCAGCTAAAATTGCCAGGATATCCATACAAACTGCATCCATACAAACCAAGTGAAAGTACTGAACTTATTCCAGCAGAAAAGTTGTAGAAGGACCCAACATGTTGAGATCTGTGCCTCTTTGGTTGGTTTTGGCGTTTGGATTTTTTTTTTTCCCTTTCCTTTTGCCTTTTTAATGTTTTTCACTCACAGTAGCGACCTCTGAAGAAGGACGCAGCCAAAAGAAAAATGAAACTTTTTCTGTGTTTTATTTTTTCCCTGTTCCTCGGTGTCATTAGACACTTTCGCATCTGTCAGCTTCTGTTCCTTCAGCTCCTGTCCCGCCCACTTTCACCTGTCTCCAGTTATCATTATGCCAGGTGTTCCCACTCCTCTCATCAGCCACAGAGCATATAGTTGCTCAGTTTTCACTCCTTCCTCAGTTGAGCGTTGTGGATTTGAACCTAAAGACTGTGATAAAACAAGCAGGCGTGCCAGAATTAAAACTGATTTAATCAGAATATTGAACGGAAACCCATTCAAGCTGATCTGCAAATATAACTTAGTTATCCAGAGAAAAAAATATTAAGTTGAACTGTTTTATAAAGCAAAGAATAATATTTTACTTAATTTATTGTCATAAAGTCCTGTGCTTGTTGTGCTGCTTGGCTCATTGTCTTTCTTATGACTTGTGTGACAGTTTTCATCCCAAAGTAAAGAAAAAACAGTTTTGTGAACTTATACCCGACCTTTTCAAATGATTGTAGGTTTGGAAAAACAATTCTCTTCATCAGATTATTGTAAATGTTTTATTCTGTAAGAAGCCAAAAGCACCAATTTCATTTGATCCAAAAAATGTTATTTGTTTAGCAATAGTCAGAACTAAGACTGGTTAAAACACATTAGTGAGTAAAAAAACAAGAAGTGATAACAGGAAAATAATCAACTGTGAATTTTTGCACCACAATCTAATAATGGGTTATCAAGTGTTTGGTAGAAATTTGAGAAGACTAGCATGAAATCCTTTTTAAAAAATCAGCATAAATAAGTAAAAAAAAAGATCTGAAAGCATCGTGAACCAGTCTTGTAAAGTGAAGAACATAATTTTTACTAATAAAACCAAATATAAATGGAACTAATAAAAATAGAGACTCCTTATTTATTTAATAATTCACAGTGTGAGTCATTTATAGTTAAAATGCTGAGAGCATCTTTTGGTGAATGCAAGGTTTTCTGAACAAATAAAGGGTTTATTTGTTCTTTACAAACACTGTTTTTCAGAATCATTTTTGACAATGTAGGAAGTTTGCCCTATCCATGTACCAGTAGTTGTAAGATTAGTCATTTTCTGTACACAGTGGGCCTGGCATGTACAAGTGTAATCATCTCACGATCAGAGTAAAAAGCTTCATGAACCGGAGTGTGCTTCCATTTCTATATTTAAAAAAAAACTGAAATAAGGAAGATTATATCTTTATCATCAAATCCTTCTTTTTCTGTCTCTCCTTTCCAATCGAACACACACACACACATGCACACGCACGTGCAATATCCCGTCCAATTTCCTCAAATTTAAATGCATCATTCATTATGATAAAAATCATTTGTCCTCAAAGGATTCGTCTCATTCATCAAATGGAAAGAATGATCAGCAACAAAATTGTTTTTCTCATCTGATGCTTCAAAGTAAATCTGTAAAATTAAAGTGTTTTTTTTTTTTTTACTTCCTAATTAAGGAAGTCCTAATAAATAAAAGACTCAAAGGTTGACAGCTGGGAGATTTATTAGACCAATCAGTACAATTTTTACATGAACAGTCTTGCGATCTGAATCCATCCATCCATTATCTTTACCTGCTTCTTCCTTTCCGGGTCACGTGGGTCACTGGTGCCCATATCCAGCAGTCACTGTGTGAAAGGAGGGGTACACCCTGGACAGGTCTCCAGTCCATCACAGGGACACAAAGAGACAAATGAGACAAACAATCATTCACTCTCTCACTCACCCCTAGAGACTATTTAGAGTTACCAATCAGCTCAACATGCATGTTTTGAGTCTGTGGGAGGGAACTAATCTGAATTTCTCTCTAAAAGTAGTATCAATAATGCTTACATTATCCTAGTTATAATATGATGCCCTTACTTACAAATAGGCATAACCAGTCCTTATTGTGAGCTGTATCCTGTTGGAACAAGATCCGGGAACTCTTATTTTGACAGGCTGCGTTCCGGTAACTGTTTGTCTGAATCCGGTAACCCTCAGGCTTACTAATAATAATAAAAGCATGAACAAATTTGACTGCCTTGAACAAATAAAACCTATATTGGATATGTAATCCAAAAATAATTACATAAACACTAATTTTAAACACAACAGCAACTTGCAAGGTTCCTAATATCACATCAGAGATGTCCCTTCAAGTAAGCATTTCCGCCTCTACCCTTAAAAATATCTCCGCCCCTAAAAGTTCAGTCAGGGGCAATTTAATTAAAAACACAAAAATATAATTAAACAGCGCAACTTAATTGCAAATCAGTTTTGCAGTTAAAGTAGGTCATTCATAAAATTTTGATTATTAAAATATGAGAAATATGTGATGGGTAATCACGTTACGTATGTCACGTATCAAAACAACGGAGCCAATTTTGTCAAAACAACATTGATCAGATCAAAATGTTGAAAAGACAGTCCAATTTACTTTTATTAAAAACAGGCTTCTCATTACTAACCGAGAATTGATTTACATGAAGGCAGTGGCAATGGAGATAGTACTCTACATGTGTCTGTGGGGCTGTTAGGATGCTTGAGAGAAGTGGAGTGTACTCTGTTCACACAAGGAGAGCTGTTGGTCAAGCTGCTTGTTGTTGCTCTCTAAAATAGTTATTGAATCAAGTGTTAACAAATGTAGGTAAACGTAGATGTTTAACAACCCGTTAAAATACACCAGAATGCAGGAAATGGCATCTACTGTTTTCAGAATTTTCTGGGAAGGATCCCCAGACAAAGGGCCCCGCCCCCCACGCTATTTGTGTTCCAGCATTGTTTGGTTTACAAATTAAGCACTGGGCACAACCTCCTAAAATAAGCTTGTTTTCGTCCCATGGGTAGAGATTTTGATTCTGAGCAAGGTCTGCCCCTGGAATCCTGTGGCATAGGACACATATCATGACACTTCAGTTTTATTAGCAAATTTCTGCCTGTATATCATCCCCATTATCAGGAAATAATTTAATGAAATTTACAAATGGCACAGGTCATGAATGGGTACATACATAAAAATACATCATTAGTGCATGTTCTTACAACTATTGTTTGTGGAATGCATTTTATTTTGCTGTAAAAAATTAGTAAAAAAAAACTTTTGTGAAGAACTTGTATATTTTATTGTTTCTGTGCTCACGCTTACCTTTTATTTCTTTTTCCTTTTCTCTTTTGGCATGCTAGGTTGCTGCCAGGATGACCAGTGGATCAGCAGGTACCGTTGTTTTCTTTAATGATTGTGTTCACCGTCCTTGCTGTTGAATTGTAAGTAATCCATTTATAAAGGATTAAACTGCCCTTCTGGGACTGTATTATGGAAGGTATTCAGCGCAAACTTGCACTTTTACATAAAACACACACACACACTTACATAAAGTGCAAAAACTAGGATCTTATAGCAAAAATCACAAATCTTCTGTGTTTTAAAGTTCTAAGTTAAAAGCTATTTATCTTGTGATAACAGGTTTTCTTTACCAGAACAAAAACGGGTTTTCCAACATTTAAAAAGCTGTGCTGTGGCTTCTTCTCTACAAATGTCAATAATACTTTTCCTAACTTCTACCTTTTTTGTTTCACACGTTCTGTAAGCGTGATGCAGAGGTCCACAGGGACGATTAATGAGTCCACCTCTGACCTCGTCCATAGCGTGTCCTGTTTGATTGGCACGCGCAGGTGTCATGGAGACGCATTTAAGAGCAACTCATTTAGATGTCTTGGCGACAGGGTCATATTCACTGCGCTGTAGATTTGTTTACTTTTGTGTGTTACATTTGTGTGCATACGTAAGGTGTGTGGTTCCACAACCAGTCAGGGGTCACATTACTGGCAATGATAGTCCAAAGAGGAGAGGTGCATGGTGGGTAATGAGGCCCAGGAGGTTTCAGGGAGGTCAGAGGTGCAGGTGCTGGGGTGTGCAGCGAGACTGAGAATGTGTGTGTTTGTGTATTTGTAAGAGTTGGTAGCATTTTATACAAACACCTCAGTGCCAAGAGAGGAGTGCAGACTAGATTTGTTGTTCGGATCTTCATGCTTCAGGTTTGTTTTTAGGCTCAAGATGGTTTATTTTCTCCTCTGATATCAGGGCGGACTTTTTTGCTCCTTGTCAAAAATCCCTTCTCATCAATCAGTGTTTGTCAGCCTGTGTGGTCTGGTGGTTCGCTGCTGAGCGGCAGGATATGAACCGGTCATATCTCTGCTCCCATAGCTGGCATTCGCTCTGCTCTCAGGGAACACGGAGTTCCTTTCAGGAATTTTACTACAGCTACCTCACACTGTATCACTGCATCTGACTGCACATTATTTCTATTAGCCTCAGCGTGCTTTTGTTGAAATGGATGGGCTTTTGGTCTGTCTAACAAACCTGCCTTAAAGTTATCGACTCTTTTGATCACAGTAAAGATTTATTAGAATTTGTCTAAAAGATTAATCCACAGTATCAAGATATTGTTTCTGTGAAGAAGTTTAAAAGCTTAAATTAATCTGCAAAGTCACCTTCACGGTGTCAGTGGTTTCTAATTATAGTTGCACAAATGCAATTTTTCAGAATATTAACTTTGATTAATGGTTAAGACAACCAAGCAAGCTTGATGTAATTTTATCTTAAATCTGAGTGTGGTTTTACCAGAAAGTACTTCGTTAAATCCATTTCTGCTCCAAACGATTGTAAATCACCAGTGACTGAGTAAAATTGCTTTTCTTATGATAGAAAAAGTATATCAGAGTACGGTAATTTCAAATCGTAAATTTGCCTCGAGACGAAAGTGATACTGAAAGTGACAATAAAAGACAGACTGAGGATGTGTGTGATGAAGCACTTTGGTAACAGCTGCTGTTTTAAATGTGCTTTATAAATAAAGTTGACTTGACATTGTAGTATGACATATAGGGAAATATATTCATACTTTTCACGAGTTCCTCATCTTTCTGACTGTGTAAATGTCGTGCATTGAATTTTAACAGAAATGTAACGAGAGACGTTATTTATGTTTGACCCATCAAAATGAATGCGGTCATTTATTTTCAGAATCAAAGTTTAACATCAAACATTTACATTAATTTGGCAAAATATGAAAATAATAACAGACAAGTTTCACAAATAATGGACATCAATCACACAGCGGTGATTGAGGACTTAGCTTCAGATATTTCTAAATATCTGTACTGATTTTAGGAGAAAGGAGAGTTTAAGATGGAAATGGAGATTTATCTTACAGAGAGATTTGTGAGGGAATTAATCTGTTTGACCAGAAAACGTGCACGCTCCATCAGATCTCAGCTTGCGACGGTACACTCGGTTGAAGTAGATCGTTACCTGGTTGATGATAAATCAGCTCGGTATAGAATCCTTCAGACTCTTTCAGCGTCTCCGTTGAGCAGCTGAAATCCTTCGAGAGTCGTACGAGGTTGTTCAAACAGATGTTATAATCCCAAAACGTCTCTGGATCATCCTGAACGCGTTTGCATCCAAGAACTCTAACTCCATCAACTCATCAGCACTCTCTTTGTGGAACTCTCAGAGTTCTGCAGCATCAGACTCTTTTTAGCTCCATTAATCTTCAGCGTCTGGCTTCAGACTTCAGACTCCAGCACTCTCTAGTTGAACTCATTTCTGAGCGCAGCAACTTGCAGCAACCGGAGCAACTCCGCAACTCCATGAACTGGGAAGTTGCCACATTTTAAATGGGTCGACTTCCGGGTCATTTGAGAGCTTTTTGATTGGTCGATGGACCAGGAAAAGGTGTGGTTTGTGATGTAAGATGTTATCATAAGTCGAGGTCAGAGAATGAGATTGTTCAACAACTAACAGAAAGATTATTGCAGAAAAACCAGACTTCGTGGAGTCTCCCTCTTATTATCTTCTGAAAAAGTTTAAACATGACATTTTTCCTCGGTAAACATTTTAGTTGACCGAAAACCGACCTTTAACATACTTACAAAACTTGGCTCATTGCAGACAGAAAAATCAAGAAATGCATATTAACCTGATTTCTTCTTTGAATGAGGAATAAAAATCATTACTTACTGTTTATGTAAAATAAAAATGAGTAGTTCTCTTCAACCTGTAAGCATTGAGTGAGCTAACACAATTTGATTATCAAACATTTGTAAAATAGTAATGATCATAGAGAATTGTCTTTTCTGCTTGATTAATTCAAGAAAGAAAGTCACCAGATGGCTCAAACTGTATTTCTGGATGCAGATCAATGAAATAACAGTCTCTGTCCATCTGGTCAAGATTTGGGGTCAGATCAGGTTCACTACAACATGAAGTTTTTTCTGAGGCTGTTCAATTCTGACACTGAAGAAAATGACTTTAGTGGTTTTAGTGCACAGGAGGAAGATGAAGGTAGTGTTCAATGACTTTTCCTGGTAGGCTACTGTATTTTATAATTTTTTTTACCAGCCGTGTTAAAGGCACTATTCAGACAAAAACCTTTACTGTATATATTTGTGTATGTTACAGTACGTATTTAATAAAATGTTTAAAAAATATGTGTTTAAATATCTCATGTTACAACATGGACACATGCAGCTTATACATAAATGTGGCCTGTACATGTACAAATTTTTCTTTTTAAATGTAGCAGGTGCGGCTTATATTCAGATGCACTCAATAGTCCAGAAATTACGGTAGTTTAGGCTGTATAAACCCAAATTGTGATGTGGAGGAGGTTCTAAATTTACCTTTACATCACTGTAATAAATGTGCGAATGACCTGCTCTTTTAATTTTAGATTAAAGCATCACTATCACAAATTAAAACAGGACATTTGTAAGTATGAAAAGTCAGACTGTTTTACAATTAAAATCCATCCATTGTCTTTTACCTGCTTCTTCCATTTCGGGTTGCATGGCAGCTGGAGCCTCTCTCCAGCAGTCTCTGTGTGAGAGGCGGGGGACACCCTGGACACGTCTCCAGTCCATCACAGGGACACATAGAGACAAACAATCATTCAGTCTCTCTCACGCCTAGGGACAATTTAGAGTTACCGATCAGTCTAACATGCATGTTTTTGGTTTGTGGGAGGAAACTGGAGTACCTGGAGAAAACCCACGCATGCACGGAGAGAACATGCAAACTCCACACAGAACATCTGGGAGGCGAACCTGTGACCTTCTTGCTGTGAGGTTCTGCTCTAACAGTTGTGTCATCATGCTCCCTATACAATTAAATTGAATCCACTATTTTTTCTCCTTTCCCTCTCACTTTTTTTTTTTAGAATATTGGAAATTGTGGTATAATGAGAAAGCTGGGGTTGCATTGTGGTAAAGTGGTTAGCACTGATGTTTTACTGTAAAAAGGACCGAGGTTTAGATCTTCGCATGTGTCTTTCTGTGTGAGGTTTGCACGTTCTCTTTACAAATGGGTCGACTTTACTACAGATACAACACTTCAACAAGACGTTCTAAGTACAGGTCCTTCTCAAAAAATTAGCATATTGTGATAAAGGTCATTATTTTCCATAATGTAATGATAAAAATGAAACTTTCATATATTTCAGATTCATTGCACACCAACTGAAATATTTCAGGTCTTTAATTGTTTTAATACTGATGATTATGGCATACAACTCATGAAAACCCAAAATGCCTGTCCCAAAAAATTAGCATATTTCATCCACCAATGAAAGACAAGTGTTTTTAATACAAAAAAAACGCCAACCTTCAAATAATCATGTTCAGTTATGCACTCAATA